CAGAACTTACTGCCGGAAAATGTAGAAAAGTGTGTTACACACAAAGCTGTAGAGACACTTCCGATCTGCCTTGAATGACATCGCACTTTGGCCCGTGAGTATGGAAATTTCCATTAGCACAAAAGCCAAGATGCTGAGGCTGAGTTTCTCCCCTGGTACTGCTTATGAGGAGGTGGCAATTCATGTTAACTTTGCAAGAAAGATTACCGACATGTATTCAAGTCACAAAATCCTATTTCATGCCTCCTTTCAGTCGCCTAGGGATGGAGTTCGAGCGTTTTTCAAACCCCTTTGAATACATGACCACGGCGGCCTACAATCGCCATTTTTAGTCTTTGCAGATTTACTATTGCCCTCTTTCACTATGTACAAAAAATTAAATTAAACTCTGCGTTTTGCGGATGTATTTTGAATTTATAGGCCATTCCTAATTTGCCTGTCATCACTTCATGTTGGGGATTGAGACCTCGCTGGGCTTGTGTGTCGTGATTTCTCTATCCACGACATCTCTTGTTGAAGATGTTCCCCGTGGGTACACCCATCTCTGGGGTCCAATAATTCGGCAGGTAGCAATTTGCGCACACGGCGCGGGGATTTAATGGAATTATTGGCGCCTTGTGCGGCCCACTCCCGCTAGTTAAAAGGCTCACGAATGGCTAATCGCGGGTTGGAGATTTGCATACTACGTCTTACTTGCGGTTCTCGGGCAGCGAGCAGCGCCCGTAAAACGTCTGTGGGTCACTTTTGGCATTTTACGCTATCTTCGGCCAGCGTCACGGTGGCTCGACAAGGGTCACCAGCTGAAGATTGATCCCATATCGTGTCAAGTTTCAAGTGTTTACCCCAGCTGTCGATTGGAATATGAGCAATTCAAATAAGTAAGAAGTCAGAATCGTCTACATTAGATGTTCACGACAAAAACCAGTGCGATGTGATCTTTGTATCCATTCCCAGACTCTCTTCAATGTCAGCCCCAGTCAGTGGCGAATCCATCGGGGGGCGGTGTTTTTTTTGGGGGGGTTGTTGGGGTGTTTGTTTGTTTGTTTGTTTGTTGGGGGGGTTGTTTGTTTGTTTGTTTGTTTGTTTGTTTGTTTGTTTGTTTGTTTGTTTGTTTGTTTGTTTGTTTGTTTGTTTGTTGGGGTGTTTGTTTGTTTGTTTGTTTGTTTGTTTGTTTGTTTTTTGGGGTTTTTTTATGCAAAAAAATACTTAGGAGAGTAAGAAAGAATGTAATCTAACGATTACATTCTATTTATCTATAGACAAATACTAACATCAAAAACCCTAAGAAAACAACGCCAGCAAACAAAAGTAAGGATGTCGGGACCATGAGCAAGGTTTTTGAGTATTTGGTCTCCTCCAGCATCATGTTGAATGAGCTCGAAGCCGCGTTCGCTTTTCAATTCCCCCGACACCAAAAGCTGAATACGCCACTGGCCTCTGTACATTAAATTTACATCGCAAAAAAACGTCATCCATCGTCACACTTTGACTCTGATATTTCCAAAATGGGATTTGAAATGCCTCAACTTTTTTTTAGTTGAATTTACATTTTAAATGAGGTTTTGCAAGCCACCAGCTGTTGTATGCCATTATTTTGACTCTGTTTCTGATTATATTAAAGTGACATGATCGGAGAAAAATTCTTCCCTCTCCTGTACAGATTGCTTCTTTGCATGAATCAAGTGTTATAATGAATACTTTAAGCCTTCGTCAAAAAGGCTCAAATCCTAAGACTAAGTAGTGATTTTTGTCATCAGTTACAGCAAACTGTACATGTGATTTAAAGAGCACCACTACTGTCGTTACCCTCGAAACTAAAAGCTAGTTTGGCGATTACCGTTTCAGGATAAACAGTTTGTCGTGTATGTGCAACATTATAGCAAGCAGTAACGAAATAAAAGACCTCTTTCTTTGAAGTAAATATAAGATTTCAACACCTTTAGGCAGCTCCATGATTTACGGTATTTTGTTTTCTTCAACGTTTACGCTTGCAGACGTTTTTAATGGAAGGAAAACAGCAGCCGTGAAGATTCGATTTTAAAGTCTCCCACGAACTTATGCACATTTACTGCAACGTCGTAAAATCGATACAATGCATAATTTTGTGCTGTTGGAATACCAAACTGGCGTATTAAAGTGGACGAGTCACCAAACCTGGCTATCTGCATGGCATAATCTAACACCTGCACTTTTAGAGTAGAAATGTTCACGCTTTTTACCGCTGTTCAAAAACTACCTTCTGGCACAGCCCCAAATAGTAAGATTAACAGCTGTCCAAAACTCGGCGATATTAATGGTTGAGGTCGGTCTTTCATGAGAACACAGCAGTTGATGTACCGAGAGGGTGCATTATGTAGAGTTGAACGTATATGTAGATGAGACCTTTCCCCTGAATTATGAATTTATTTCTAAATTTTTCTTTTCATTTAGTGTTCGACACAGAGTGATTCTACGGTCTCGAAATGTGATGCAACTCCAATACGCGGGAAATGTTGGAACGCAGTCTCCCCGACTTGCACATCAATTGTCATGGTGTACAATACGATACTTGATTTGATAGCATGGACGTACAGCATAGGCCTAGGCCTAAATGTCATGTGCGTATACAACAAGCACCGAAGGCGAAACGTGTAGAGTATCGATAAGCGAAGCAACGTGTACTTCCAAGATACTGATCGTGCACACCATATCTATTAATTAGCTGTGCGTACAACGTTGTGACGATATATGATACATATCAGTCGTGTTGTATGTCCCGATCTACACGGGACGTTGTAAGCAAAGATCGTATAGCGCCGCCTAACGGCGGCGCTATACGATCTTTGGTTGTAAGTTATAGTGCATGACCCTCATCCAGTTGGTTGTCTACTGGAGAGAAGTTACCTCAGCATCCACTGAACCGATATTGTGGTGTATAACTGTCAGTGAAAGAGCGTGGAGCAGCCATTTGGGAGACAATCCTAAATGGAACTCCACATTCATTTTATGGCACGACTTATTCAAATGGCAGTGTTATGGTACTGTTGTTATTCGCGCCCATGAAAAGGTACTGGTACAAGGGGAGATGTTGTTTTTCTGTGGTGTTAGTACACCCACATAGTTATCATCATGCATGTTTATGACGTGGCTCGTCACACGTTCCTGTTGGAACTACCGAACGATCACAGATTCACACCGAGTGTGATGCATGTTGGTGATCAAAAACTAACGGGCAGGCTTTCACTCGCGAGGTTTCCTTCTTATATTCAAATGGTTGCAATATACTGCCGACACGAATGACTGCGAAAGGCTGTACCGAGGAAAAGAATTCATGAAACTGAAGATGCTCGTGAGTTGCGCAAAACCACGGTTTGGGCTTTAATATTATCTGGCTTCTACTCAAAGCCTCAATAGTCAATACCACGGTGCGTGCAACATTATATGCTGGTTTTAACCTCCTTCTAATTCTTAGCAAAAGTAGGTTTCCCATCCTTGGATATCAGTTCAAATTGAAGCCATTGGCATCAATCATTCACTGCAGAACATAAAGGCAACTATATGAATCTCGTTCATAGAAATTACAATGTAGATCGTAACAGAAACGGCCCAGATAGTGACTCAAAATGCGAAACCGAAGACCACCCATTAACTTTTGTGACATCGTAAGTCGATATCAGAGATTATAATTCGGCGCATCAAGATAATAACGTAGCCCTTTTTTCATATTCTAGGGATCAGAAACGGAACAGCAACGACCGTATCAAATTACACTGTGAGCCATTTGTTACAGTAATTATCGTTGGTGGCCATCATTCCAAAAGAAAATCTTGTTTGACGTCCACAGAGACAGAGAGGACTTTTTTCCATTCTCAGTTTGACAGTTTTTAACCTGTAACTATTAGATAAAATTCGTATTTCACATGTCTTAGAGGTCATGATGTGAGGCTTGTAAAAATGGTTTGCACCATGACGTTTGAGCTTCTTTCTTTTTCTTCTTTTTGGTTTCATGCTTTTCATGTCGCATTCGATTGCTGGTTTCAATAAGGTATTCATCGTTTATGCCGGAACTGGTTAAAATAACATTATTTTCAAATCGGCGAGGCTTCTTCGGCTGCTTCTTTGCAATCGTTCGCCCATCTCTTTCCTGCTGCACGTCAGTGCCAGCAACGTACCGCTCTCGCCCATGCTTGCTATCAAAACAGTCTCACCCCGAGCTTTATTTGTTGGAGAAACCGAGACGTTTATCCTTAGGTTCAGATCATATCCTCCGACTTGGTTGGTTTGTTTTCTCCCTTCGGGCAAAAAATATAAAGCCGTCTGTAAAGACAAGGGGAAAGGAAAGAAGAGAAAGAGGAGAAAATGGAAATTATTTGGCGAGTGAGAATACTGTTGGCCCGTCTCGTATGAACGTTTGCAGCGTCATCGTCGACCAATTAACGACTGTTTCCTGTGAGGACTGCTTCAAGAATTGCAAACGTGTGTTTTTCATAGCCTACCGTGGCCCTATCGTGGTTTGGCGGCTCCCGTTGAAGTCAACAGCCGTCTGCAGTTTCTTCTCTAGTCAGGCTGAAATAATAGTCAGCTTTTTTCTTGCATATCTGAATGTCACTGCAATAGACTTATATTGATATTCTTTTTTACTGAAATTTTTCTGCGGGTCAGGATCCTAAGCAGATTCGTTTATACTGTTTGTACACATCATAAAAAATACTCGTCATAATTTTTACGTATATCATGTCTTTCTGCTGCAGCTGCTGTAGTTATATTTCTGCTGAGTGTGTTTGTGTGTGCATCTCCAAAATGAATACCCGGCAGAACAAGTTAATTCAGCTGACGTTGTTCTTTGATCTCTTCTCTCACGGTTCATCAGCTGCCGTTCGTACATTTTTTTTCTTTTTGTTATTGACGACGCAACGTGTCGCACAGCAAGGATGCGAACAACTCGTCAAGCAGGATTTCGTATCTCTCTCTAAGATCCACTGACGACATTTTATTCTCCCCAATCTCTTTGTCCGTTGCAGCTGAGACAGGCCTTACAGAGTGACCATGGTAGCGGCCGTTGTGATTGGTGTGGTGTGTGGAGCTGGGGTAGCGCTCATGGTCGTGGTGCCTATGATTCTGTACAAGTACACCAATTGCTGTGCCAGCTGCAAGAAGAAGCATAAAGATCATGAGGCCCAGAAGAAGGTAGCCATGGCAAAACCAACTCAGGTATGGTATATGATCTTTAAAATTAAGCAAAAAATAAAAAATAAGAGAGAGAGAGAGAGAGAGAGAATTAACACACAAAGGGGTTATTACATGTCTATGCATTGCTGGTGCGTTGGAGGATGTTTATGATTTTAATTTAGTGGCAAAGACCGTACAGAAGGTTTACTTGAGCCTATCCTGGTGATACAAAGTCCTTGTCCTCTAATTCCGCCGTATGCATAATAACCTTTATTAAGATGTCTGCTATGCGTACGTTATCCACGATAGGTTATAGTTTATGACTTTGTGAAGACTAATGCGAGGAGACATCATGTGGCCCTGTACTCATTCGCGCTTGCTTACACCGAAAGTGCAATGGGCTGAGTCACAGCAGACCATAGTTCCTTGAGTAGAAGCACCCCCTCATCGGTTGAAAAGAACCACGTTGGTGGGTTTGCTCGTCGCTGGGAAGGGCTGATGGCTTTGCACTGTGATTGGCTACATTGTGCACGACCTCTGACCGCGAGGTTATCACTTCCTCTCAGCGAAGCGTTATTTAAATGTTTTCGTTTGCCAATGGCAACGCCTTGGTACGATCACGGTGTGGTAATTTATCTTCTCACTAAGTTCGAGTTCGGGCGGCCTGTTCTTAACATGGGTTTCTTGTTCTCGCCCTCGAACGGCGGGAACACCCCAAGAAAGCTGTTCCCGGAACAGGATCACACAGCACCTCCTCGTTAGGGTTTTACAGAAACACACGGAAAAACTCGCGAGATTTTTATTTTTGAACAGTCGCAAAAGATACCGAGATGGCTCACAAAGCCGGAGACAATGGGAAGTTTTACAAAATTAGCAATAATCATTTTCCATAGCAAAAAAATGAATGTTCCTTTTTAAACAGAAAAGAATTCAGCCCAGCTTTCCAAGTTTACTGTGAAAGAACGTACATGGATGCCGCCATGTTCCATGCAACAACCGGTTGTACGTACTAATACATATATAAATCTTTCACAGTTTATCTTAGCTGGATAGTAGGTTTCCACTTGGAGTGACGCCTTAAGTTACATCAATAAAATCATCACAACGAATTTCAAAATCTTGGAGAGAGCAAAAGCTCCATTCTAGGAAATCCTGGGAGAGAATTCCAAAGCAATTCAAATCGTTTCGAATTCTATACCTCCCCCGGGGATTTTCCATCGAGGAGCAGTTATGTTTGTTTTTACACTTGCACTTCCCTGTCTCGTCTGTTCGGGTTTTACGTTGCCACGTCCCTGTACCGTCTTCGTAAATCTTCAATTAATTTGGCGCCAAGCGAAACGCGCAGCGCACCATCCGGTAGGAATTATGTGGCAATGATATGGAGAAATGTAGAGGTTTAATTGAAACACGCTCCGAGGTAAATCTTCCTCTCCCTCATACAGGAAGATGATCATATGTCCTCCAGCGACATTTTATTTTTCTTTAAAGAGGCCTTGATTTATCAGTAGTATAAATCTTTAAACCTTTCGCTTCTTCCCTGCTACATTTTTTTAATTCCTGTTGATTATTGAGGTGAAGAATTTTTATTGCTCTTACTAGTGATTTATTTGATATTCTTTTTATTTTACTTACAAAAAAACGGCCTTATTACTCAAGAAAGGGAAACTCGGCTCAGGTTTGCTTTGCAGCAAAATGTTTAAGTTTCACTGAAATGGTTTCTTGTTTCATTGCCGCCTCTCTTTGTAACCAATCAATGCTTTTACTGCAAATCACGATGCTTTACGCATACAGCGGCAAACAATTGGTATGGGTAACGTGGAAAATCAAATCATTGGACTAAATCGATGTAGCTTCGATCTTTTTTTTTATTTATACATATATTTTTTTGAGGGGGTATTTGTCGTCGAAAATTAAATTAAATTTTCTGTCCACACTGTGAGGGAGACGCATTTCATTCGCTTTCTTCGAAGTACTTGTTTAAAAGTATATTTTATATATAATGTTTGGGGAAATTAGGCACACAGCACAGCCAGCTTTTTGAAATTTTCTTCTTCTCTCTCTCTCTCTCTCTCTCTCTCTCTCTCTCTCTCTCTCTCTCT